AAGGAGGCTTGCTTATTTGTGATCTTTGCCTATAATTTCCTTCTGTTTCAACTTAATGAAATGGCAGGCTTTATCTTTGTAAGGTCAGTTTATTTTTAGTGCAAATATATGATTTTGAAATTTCCCTTAGTTTGACTCCACTTTCTTCAAAATATTTTTATTCTGGCATCAACAACTTTGTACTTCACATTAAATCCCCATTTTGGAAGTAGGAGTTGCAACTCCTTTGCAAACATGGTTTGTGGAAGAAAGACTGAAAAATATAACAATTATTTAGAGACCTTACTGCAGAAGTAAAAGATAATGGAAATTTTTACTCTTCTCATGACCCTTAACTTTTTTTTTCACAGTTAGATTCTATAAAAATTAAAAGGTATGCATTAGAGCAGTTCATTTAAATTTAACAGTGATTTTTGACTGGTATAGCTTGAAATTGTCATGTTTCAAAGTTTACTTGTAGCAGTAATTACTTTGCTGCCGTATAGAATCTTGTAGAATAATGTACACAACTTTAATTTATATGCATAAATTGCTGCTTTTTGAAAGAATTATTTTCCCTTGAAATTGGCCCCTTTTTTTTGTTGTTCTAGCTATCTCATAGTAAAAACTGTGATGATATTCTTCCTTGTTGTTGACTTAAAAATAATAGTCTAGAAAAGTGGCTAGCTAAATTCTGGGAAAACCATCTATGCAAACATAAGTTTCTCTGAGACTATCCCATTTGGAATTAATTGAACAGTACTGAAGAATTTGTGACTTCTAGAAAATAAGAGAGGAAGAAAATACTGCAGTTAAATGCTGGGGGTGAGGGTGGAGTTGTAAAAAGATGGTTTTATTTACATACATCCTTTTTAAATATTAAAACTTGAACTAGCTGTAAGGTGCCTTATTGCTCTTACCTTACCTGTTACCACTTAATAATCTCAAACAAAGGCAAAAATGTTGCCTAATCGCTAATGTGTTTGGAATGATGGAATGAATGCAGGAATATAGGAGGATGTTGCAGCCATCTCGTGTGTCGAACAATCGCATTTACCTCGTTTCTCACAGATACATATCACAGGAATATTTACTGTGTCATTGGTGCAGTCCTGGCATTGAAACAGGAGGATTGTGCTGCTTTCTGTGAGTGTAGCTTTGTGCTGGAAGAACTGATTGTCAGGGAAGGGTTAGACAGCATGCTTACTTGTCCTACCTGCATCTTCATTTTCGCCTGTGCAGCCTTGCAGGGGACTGGTCCAAGTGGCTCGCTGAGGTTAAGTTAACTACTGCTGTGTTGTGGAAACTGAAGTAGTAGTGATGGCACCACGGCAGTGTAAACTCACATCCCTGCTGAAAGGAGTGCTTGTCAAGGTGGCTTTGTAGACTGTTTTCTGAACTGGACTTAAGAGTGAATAACTAGGAGGTAGTCAGTGGAAGACTTGTGTACAGAGACAGAGTAGGGGCATGGTAGGGCTCTCTAGCCTCTGCAGAAGGATTTTTGTAAAATAGTATCTAGGGCACACTACCTTCCTGTGTGGACTTTTTCAGCACCTAAGGCCTTGCCAACCCTTTTACCAGCAGCAGATCTTTGTCACCACATTAAATGCTTAATGTTACAAAGTATTTTAAAAATAACACTTTTATTTTTCACTGCGGAAGAAGGAGGTTGAACAAACGGACTTCAAGAACTTGAATTGTTATTTCTTTGTGGATTCTGTATGAAAAGCATTGTGAAGATACTGATGAAGTATATGTAATCTTTTTCACTAATCCAGAATATCCCAAACATGCATTTTGTATGTCAACTTGCAGAACTGCTGTGGTGTCAGTTTATCTTTGCATTCTATAGTGTTTTTGCATTTGGGTTGTTTTTGTTTTCAGTGACTGAGAAGGCTTGTCAGTTATCCTGCTGGCTAAATATCATGGCTAGGCTTCGTGAACGAAGATTTGGGAAGGGCTCTACCCACATTTGTTATAGGCACGCTGGTGGCTAAAAAGGCCAATATGAGATAGAGAAGTCTGGTTGCAAAAGGCACAGCAGAAGGGCTCCTTAGGTGGTATATTCTGCAAGACACGAGTCTTCCTGCGCTGTCTTTTCTCCTCAAGAGTGATCCTGTGTGCTTTCTCAAAAGAAGCAGCTGGCTAAATAAGGAAATGACGAAAAGCATCTTTATAATATTCTTGTACTTCAGAAATAGTTTGGTTGGCCACCTGCAAAAGCAGTGGCGTTCCTACCAGTTCCCTTATACCACATCCTTCCAAGGGGCGTGGTATGGTAAATAAATGTGCTGTAATTGTATAGGTAGGTATGTAACTTAATATTTATATCAAAAGGTAAAAATTGGAATAGTGTTTCAATGGAGCATTCAAACAATAACAAAAAGTTAACAAAAATCTTCTGGTTGTAATAAAGTTAAGTTTTGTAATCAGGGTTCTAGACTTAGCAAGCCTGTGCCAGCCAATTATTCTACAGTGTCTTGATTGATTTAATGTTTTATTGTTAAAAGAATGTTCACTTTAAAATACTCCTTGTATCAGGGTGAAGATATGAAGACAGTTATACATTTGAAATGTGTTGTAAGAAGACCAAAGATTTGCCCATCTTTTATTAGACCAAGTAGAACAGTTGACTAGGGAATGAGCTTAGGGTTTGAGAGAGTTTCATTATGTTTTGGCTATTATTTTAACAGGTTAATGGTTGTCAGCATAAAGGCAAAATGTAGATAGCTGTCTTAGGAGATAGTGGTTGAATGATGAATCAATGCAAGTACAGGCACATGTCATGATTGAAGGTTGTAATTTTGTACTGCCATCCTTCTGCTATTGAAGCTGGTTTAGTCCTCCATCCTGGAGCAGTTCTTTGTGTGCTGCAATGAGCTACAGCTTCAGTTGTATGGATACAGGCCAGTTGTACAGAGAGTTGTCACACGGAGCACTGCAGCCGTCTGAAATGCGCTTCTTTGTGTGTTTGTTAAACGTGGAAGAGGTTGGAAAATACTTTTTTTTCTGAAAACGTCTGTTGTGGTTTTTTTAATATCATTATTTATAAAATTAAATATAAAATTGTAAGAATACATGTTAAATCCTTGAAGTTAACTTATTTTTCGAAATAATAATAATTGATGTATTTGGGGCCGAGGTTTATAATGAAATCACAAAACAGTTAAAAATTGCTCAAAAAAGACACCTGCTGCCAGAGTTGGATGTGTTAAAACACCAAATTTTTTCACAGCCTTCTTGAAAAATGCAGATATTTCTTCTGTTGAATAAATGCTAAGTTAAAAAACAACAGCTAGATTTACATTAGTAGTGGGGTTTTTTTCCTACCCTCCAGTAAGTAAAAGGAAGGGCTAGTGTAATAAAAGATCATTCTTAATATTTTCTAGTACTTTCTATCTGCAGATGTATCTGCGTTTGTTTAATTAGCAGGATATGCATTTTACAATCAAAATATGCTCTTCTGGTGCAGTACCTGGATGCTGGCATGCTCAAAGTACTGCTAATAAGTGAAAAATTAATACTGATCTTGCATGTTAATTACCTCCCAGTATCGGTGCAAATACCATGTGATATTTATTAGACATCTAGTAACCATTTTGTTGATATTTCCTTAAAATAAGGGATTTGTATTTTTTTAGTTCTCTTAATGAAAAAATGACTTTGCTGTTTGCAACAGTTAGATGTTGCATTTAACTATACTGTTAAGATGCAGTTTCGTGTTTAAAAATAATAAGTCTGTACTGCTGCTAGAGAGGAATGAACACACTCATGTTTTCCTCCATCCCACACTAACACCTGTGCTTCTTCCTGCACAGCTGAATTTGGCTGAAAAGGTTTCTCAGCCTTCAGTTGTGAATGACCTTCCCACACTGGGGAAGCAGCAGGAACACATGGTTAACAAGGATGAAAAGAACCAAACTGCTCCTTTAAGCACAGGCAGCTTATAAACCAGTACCCTGAGCAGTACTTTTGCAGCCAATACAAGCCAGCATGACGACTTGCTGCTGCCATTCTTGGTCCCATCTCCTCTTTCTTTGCAGTGGATTTTGGCACTCTTTCAGCTGATTAACTAATCTAGCTCAGCATAGAGTGCTGGCAGGTTGGAGAATTGATTCATCTCATGGAAATACTCTTGGGCACCGGGGCTGGTGCAAGATAAACAGGTCATGCCCATGAGCAGGTGGGGCTCCTGGACCAAGGGCAATGGGAACCTCTTTTTCCACCAAAGTGGTAAGGAGTTGTTTGCATCAACTTATTCCATCCTGTAGAATCACTCCCTTAGTCTCAACTTTTTAATTAAAGTGCTTTTATAGAAGAGTATGGTGAAAATTTCAGGAACCTTAACTGCCTTGTTGTGGTATCTTGTTTCTTGTTGGCATTTTGAAGCTGAGGCTTAGCTGGAATTCTACAGCAGTCTTAATGAGTAAACAGGCTTTACAAACAGCTAAATGAGAAACTGTAGTGCTCAAAATCCTCCCTGTTAGTAGTTAGAACCTCAAATTGCCAGTGTTCTCAAAGTACATACTTTGATTTTTCAGTACATTTTTTTCTAAATACATATGACCTACCATCAAATTCTTAGGACAAGGATTAGTTTGTGGTGGGTTTTTTTTAACTGCCATAGGTATATTTAAATATGTCGAATTAGTTTTGCCCTGTGTCCAGACACAAATGCTGGCTTCGTCTGTGTGACTGTTTGTTTGCTCATATGTGGAAAGCAATGCTGTATTGCAGACCCGGAGCCTGCAGCCAGCTCATTTTTTTCATAAGCACTCTTAAGCATTATTCTTGAAATTTTAAAATATAAACTGTAGTGGGATAAATGTAAGTAAGAAGTGTAACAGCTGAACTTACTTCTTGAGATGGGGAAAAGTTTTCCCTGAAAAATAAGTTCTCAGTGTATAGAAGGGAGGTGTTCTTGGGAAGGTTAAATTACAGGAGTAATTTAACTTTTATATTAAGTTTTCTCTGTTTCTCTGTAACAGCTTTTACTGGTAATCTTGTCTTTTATTTCTTAGTGTGGTCCTGACGAACTTCTTCTGGTGTCAGTAACAGATCGTTTACCATGAGCAATTCTACTCCAACTACAGGTATACGTAAAAAAATATCACAGTTCTTCAACAGTGTGTGTTTCCTCTGCCTTTTTCTTTTTTTTTTTTTTTTTTTTTTTTTTTATTCTTTATTGTCACCATAAGCATGACTGAACTGTAATATGACTCCCAACAGTACTGGCATGTGAGCCTACCCTATTCCATGACAGTATTGAGGAGCTCCAAAAATGATCAGTTGAAATGCACAAAAAAAAAAAAATCTGTTTTCTATAATCATGATCAATCAAATACCTTCTATACAGACTGTCAAATGCCTATTCAATTTTCCTGTAGTTGAATGCTTGAAAGGAATTTGTTTTGAAGTATTTCAATGCTGTCAGGATTACAAAGACACCCATCTGAGTTTGGTGGAACGTAAGGAACATTATGTGGATTCATGATAAAAAATTCAGCTGATTCCCCTTGGTGTTCTTGTTCTTGCTTTCTACACTACCTCTGGAACTTTTTGAGGAGCAGCACAGACAGTCCTGTGATCTGGTTTCGGATGTTTTCTGCCAGTTCTTGTCCCCAGGCAATCTCTCCATGGGTTCAGATGGATGGTAATGTTTTTGCAAGGAAAGCAGTAAAAAAATACTACTTTTTTTCTCCTGATCAGATGTTTTCTAGATTTGGCACAGATTATTGTTCAGATATGTAGTGCAAAACCAGCAGAATGGGGTTTTATTGGGAAAGTGGTGGGAAGTTGGATAGGCAGATGCAGGGTAAGGAAACTGGGTTCATTAAAGCTATGTGATGGCTCACTGTGAAACCACAGCCACGTGTTTCTTCAGACATGTTAAACTATACTACCATGCGAAGAAACTTGTGCTCTGCCCTCTTCATGTGTTGAGAAAGATGCGGCAAATGTACATGTCTACCTACAGTTTTAGATCAGACAAGAAACTGAGAGAAAGCTAGGAACTGCTTCCTTTAGTGGTACTTCCAGCATAGGTGGTCTTGAAGTATTAATGGCCAATGGCTGCATAAGTTAACTTTACGTCAAGTAACTTAGTAAAGTCAAGGATATCTTGTCCATTTTGAACCTGAAAAGTAAAACATAGAATGGATTGTTAGGCTTTAATAGTAATATATCCTGTCATGGCTTGGTACTGGTAAGAGTTTAATATGTTCATGTTTGTTTCAGTCTCATCCCAACAAGTGTACCAGATATTCACAATTTTCAGAATGCATATAGAGCACATGAAGCCATATAAAATTTCTTGATAGAAAAATCAATGCATAATTGACTTTTCTGTTTTGCAGGTGGGGGAATTGTTAACTTGGCTTATGACTGTGCCATGGTTGGGGCTTAGATCATCTAACTTGGAGTTTTAGAGTCTTCCACTAATAAAAGAACCCTCTGTAATACAGAATGACTTGTTTAAACCACTTTTGAACCTTAGACTGTACTCAAAACAGACAGCAAAATCTGAAGTTTCTTGTAAAGCTCATACAAATATTTCTTCCTCATCTTTTGTTGTTCTCATTGGAAGGCTAAATGCAAGACATTAGGTGTTAAGACTGTCTCTCTTGCCTTCGTTACAACTGCTTCTAGAAAAATATGCCTGTTCCAGATGTGATGTTCTGTGTAAAAGTGCTCTCAAGAACTCTGAGTCATCTCCTTGAAAAGTAATCATTGGTCACTTAGCTGTTACAGGATCCAAATAGGCACATGTTTTAAAAAAAAAAAAGACAGTTTACCAAAGTAGAAAACTTCAGAGTTCGTATGGAATCCATGCTGTGCATCCTTTCCAAAGACTTTTCAAAACTTAAAATCATATGGAACAGCACATTTTCTTTAAGAAAATAAATAAATAAAGACCCTTTGAGTTTACACTTCAGCCACAGGAAGATAAGTTAGTGATTAAAAAAATTTAATATATTACATCTCAGTTTTGACTTACCTGTCTACTGTGCAACTAACACTTTGTAAATACCTTATGTGGGCATTTGGGAAGAAGTTATTGGCCTCTGTGTCTGTAAGAATTTAAAAAAACCCTCAAAACACAAAGCTAAACCACAGGAAAATAAACAAGCCCAAACCAAAGCCAAACAAACACAACACACCTTCCCATTGCAGTTGATATTTGGAATCGTTTATGAAGTCTTCTTACTGTGGTTATATATGAACTGTCTTTTCTTAAGATTCAAAGAGCTATACCTAAGTCAATGTCAGTGCTGAGACAGCAGTTTGTTTTTTTTTTTTTTTTTTGTTTTGGTGTCTACACTGTGCAATAAGTTTATCTTGTTTGCTTGTCTGTCTCCTTCCCTAAAATATTTTAGACAATGGGAAGAAAAAAATCAAAGGGGGCAAATCACAATGTTTGCCTTCACGTGTCCTTCATATTCGTCAAATTCCAAGTGATGTTACTGGAGCAGAAGTCATTGCATTAGGTCTCCCTTTTGGCAAAGTAACCAATTTCTTGATGCTAAAAGGAAAAGGTCAGGTATGTAATTTTCAGTGTTTCAATTACAAAGGCAAGGTTGAAGATGTGGTTCATATTTAGGTCTTGCGTTTGACTGAAATGATTGCAACAATGTCTAAATATTTCATTGATAGTTCAAGATTTTCATATTTTCAAATGTGAAAGAATGTTATGAAATTTATTTTAAATTCTTAATACTTTGAATTAAATAATGATCTAGAAACTTGTTAATAATATTGCTAAACATTATATCCACTTTAGGTAAGAACATATGGATGATAAAGAACTATATTGTCTCTATTGATGTAGATGTATGTCTTGAAATAGCCTGCCTAAGTTACTAACATGCCTGTTAATTTTTTAACATCTTTTTAATTCTATTAGATGTGACAGAATAGTTCACACCATGAATAAACACTGAAATCATAAAAATAATAGGCATTCATTCAAAAAATTGTCTAGAACCATCTGGGTCAATATGATGCATAAACTGATAGATGTTTAGTGTCCTGTTCCTACTTTTTCAATCAGTATGTGTATCTGCTAGCTAGGTAACAATGCTTGGATTCAGAAATGTAATAAATTCATTAGCATTGTGGTATTTTTAGTGGTGTTGCTTCCCATATATCATACTTATTCCACCTCTTCTTTAATGACTTAATGTACTTACAGTGTAAAACTTCATAAGAAAACCCACAAAATCCCATAAACATGCACACACAAGTGCATTTTAATGCTGAGCAAACCGGTACTTTACTTTCACATGATCTTTTTCTAGTGAGAGTGGAATTGGGAAAAAATGATGTTTCAATGCTTTGTTCTCTCCTGTAAACAAAAACAGCACTGAAGTGAGCTATGTATTGGTTACAGGCATTTTTGGAAATGGCTTCTACAGAAGCTGCTGTTTCTATGGTGAACTACTATACTCCTGCTACACCTCACCTCCACAATCGGCCAGTTTATATTCAGTATTCCAATTACAAAGAACTTAAGACTGAAAATCTACATAATCAGGCTGTAAGTATAATATTTCCATTTAACAGGATGCTGTATTGGTTTTGGCTAGGACAGAGTTAATTTTCCTTGTAGCAGCTTGTGACAGAAAGTATCAAGGCCTTTTTGGCTTCTCACATTGCCAGTGTGAGTGCATAAGAAGTTGGGAGAGGACCCAGCTGGGACAGTTGATCCCAGCTGACCCAAGGGATATCCCACAGCATATGATGTTGTGCTCAGCATAGAAAGCTGGGGGAAAGATGAGGAAGGGAGGATGCTCCAAGTTGTGGCCTTCTTCTTTCTGAGTAATTGTTACGTTCAATGAGGCTGTATTTTCCTGGAAATGTCTGAACACCTTTCTGCCAATGGGAAATAGTAAAGGAGTTCCTTATTTTGCTTTGCTTACACGTGCAACTCTTGCTTTGCCTGTTCAACTGTCTGTAACCCAGCCCATCGGTTTTCTCCCTTTCACTCTTCCAATTCTCTTCCCCATCCTGCTGGGGGAAGGTGGCTGAGCAGCTGTGGCGCTTCACTGCCTACCAGGGTTGAACCACAACATTAGTGAATAGACTACTTTTCACATCAGTAGTCAAGTTCTGATATATATAATGCCTGTCTTTTCATTTAAGCAGTAACTTCTTTCAGACAGAGACTTCTCAATATCTGTAAAATTACTGTGGAGGAGCTCAAGCTCAAAGCTTGCTCCTGATGAGCAAGAAACAAAGTGAGGGTGGCAGGAAGGCTGCCTGGATGAACAAGATGCTCCTGATTGAACTTAAACATGAAAGAAAGGTATAGAAAAGTTAGAATCATGGACAGGTGCCCCAGGAGAATTATAGAACATTATGTGAGCATGCAGGGTTGTGGTTAGGAAAGTCAAAGATCACATGGAGTTGTCTCTGGTGAGTGGTGTGAAAAGCAGCAAGTATGGCTCCTCAAAGTGTATCAGCAGTAGAAATAAGATTTTTTTTTTTTTTTTTGAATATGTGGGCCTGCTGCTGAATGGGGGTAGGGACTCTGGTGACCCAAGGACATGGAAAAGTCTGAAGTTCTGGATGCCATCTCTTCAGCCTTTAGTGGTTAAGACTTACCACTGAGTACCAAGCAAGTGAGAACAGTAGGAAAGTCTTGATGAAAGAAATAGAGAAGAATCTGACTAGGGAACATTTAAATGAATTGGATAAGCAAAAAGTCTTTGATCCTAATGAGATACAGTTGTGAGTGCTGATGGAGCTTGTCAATGTCATTGCAATGCCACTCTTACAGTCTTGTAATGTCATAGAAGTTGAAAGAGGTTCCAGAGGACTAGGAAAAAAGAAAATATCTCTCCTATCTTAACGAAGGACAACAAGGAAGAACCAGGGAACCACTGGCTGATCAGCCTTACTTCAGTCCTTAGGAAGAGAATGAAGCAACTCATCCTGGAAACCATGTCCAAATCTTCTAAGGAGAAGAAAGGGGTTAGGAAAAGTCAGCATGGGTTTTTCAAAAGGATGTAAAGCCTGACAAATGTGATGGTTTTCTATGGTGAGATGACAGGTTTGGTGGATGAGAGGAGAGCAGTGGATATTGTTTATCTTGACTTTGGCAAGAATTTCAGTGTTGTTTCCAATAACATCCCAATAGATAAACTGATTAAATGCAGTCTTGTTAAGTAGATTGTGAGGTGATTTAAAAGGCTAAAATGGTTCTGAAGTAGCATGAAGTTTAGTTGAGGTTGAGTCACTAGTAGAGTGCCCTAGGGGTTGATACTTTGTCCAGTACTGTTTAGCATCTTCATTAATCCCTTGAATGATGGGATGGGGAACATGCTAAGCAAGTTTGCTGACAACACAGACCTAGGAGGAGTAGTTGACACATGGAATGGTTGTACTGTCATTCAGAAGGATCTTGAAAAGCTGGAGAAATGAACTGGCAGGAGGAACCTCATTAAGTTCAAGAAAGGGAAATGCCAGCTCCTGCACCTGAAGAGTAACCTCAGGTACCACTTTACACTGGTGGCTAACCAGCTGGAAAGAAGCCTGGTAGACATGCCAAGCACCAGAATTAATTTCTTCCTTGTAGTTCTGAAGTACTAAAAATTGATTTCTTAAGAATATGAATTGAAAAATGCAGATGAGTGATTTATATCCTAATCTCTAAGCAAGGAAATACTCTTTGCACAATAAGATCAGACCACACAAACCATCATATTATGGTTGAAATCTGTTTGGATTTTTGGATTCCTGGATGATTTTCAATTGACCTCCCACTTAGTTACCTGAGTTATATACTGCAATGTGTATATCATGATTTTGTTTTCTGTAAGAACGTTGCAAGTAGTGATAGGGGCATAAATCATTAATAATGTTTAATTTGTGCTCACACAAAAGACACTGAAGTCTTGTAAGCTTGTCAGTCTGGTAAATGTTATTTGGCTGTTTCCTCATCCAAGATTGTTGGATTGATTTTTTTAATCTGCAAAAAACAAATAAACAGCAAGCTTTTTTTTTAAGGATGTGGTTTGTGTAACAGCCAAATATAACCATACATATATTTGCAAATAAGACTCCTTGAATCTCTTTCTGAGTATTTAACTTGGTGGGTAGCACTTGCTTTCTTCTCAAAAAATATTGTCTACTTTTAAAAATTGGAGAGGGGGCAGTTATGATTCTTATATTTGAGTCTCATACCTTAGCAAAGCAGCTGAACACTGTGTTACTATCCTAGTGTCTAGGCTCAGGCCTGAAGTACAGATTATTTTGCAGGGTTATATTTTTTCTGAAACTGGGGAACGTCTGAATGATGTGCCCTGTTTAGTCTGTCTTTCAAGAAAACAGTATAGCTGAGATGATTTCAAGTCACAACATTATATTTGGAAAGGAACATGGTCTCCATAGTTGTTCTACTCAGAGGAGGTTTGAAGGCCATGAAAAACAAGTGTAGAGGCAAAAACTCCAGTTGGAGGAGTGTTTGATAACTTGACTCTGAAAGAAGAGCAGGGTATACACCTTTAAGCTTATCCCCACCAAATCTCAGTTCCTGAAGAGAATGAAATCCTCAAAAAGCAGAGCAAATAGTTTTATGGGCACTGACTGGTTGTTAGTCTATTACAATATTGTGATCAATACTGTCATCAACAGTATTGCTGGAAAAATCTATGAATGTCAAAACCTTACTGAATTAAAGCAAAATTGTGGTTATATGACATTATAAAGTAGTAACAATTTAACTAAAAAAATAGTTGTAATTTTGTGAATTACACTGATCAGTTGTAAGGGAGGGGCATGGAAAGGAAGAGGTATGATTTACCTTGATTAATGTGGGATCTGAATCAACAATCATATGAAGGAACTACCTTTTTCTGTAGTTGCATTTTATGTGCTTTTCTTCTAAGAGACCTTTGTTTCAGTATGATAATTTGCATGTAAATTAATTATGCTTTCTGCTGTGTTGTAATTTCAGAGACCCCAGGCTGCATTGCAAGGTGTGAATGCTGTGCAGCATGGAAGCCTGGCTATTACAAATACTCTTGATGGTGAAGGTGGACACCTTCCAAGTCAAGGTTCTGTTCTTCGAATCGTTGTTGAAAATGTTTTTTACCCTATCACTTTAGAAATGCTGTATCAGGTAATGAGGATTGCTTAAAAAAAAGATAAATTACAGTCTGTTCCAATGTTGCTGTTGTAAATCCACGAATTTATTTTTTTAAGTACCCGTGGATCCTTAATCTTTTGAGTGAGGACTGCCTCTTTAAAATTATTTCTTGTAGTTTAGAGATCTAGGTTTGAAATAGTTCTGCACAGATGAAATTCCAGTAAACAAGGCTTCCGTACCCTGCTTTTCACGTTGTCATTTTTACTTCATTTCCTTTCTGTGGAAGCAGCAATGAACTTGAACTGTTACTTCTGATTTATGCCCCCATGATGAACTAGTGAAATACTGATTGTTATGAACTTGTGGGTCCATATTTTAGCGCTCTTTGTACTGAGTAACATCAGTAGTTTGCATTATATTTTAGGGGCTTATATGCACTTCTATAATTCAATGCAAGTGATGTAAAATGCAAGTTGCTTTACAAATGTTTCTGGTTGTTCATCGACTACTAGAATGACATTTAACTACCTCTGAAAGCCCTGAATAGTGATAGACTACAGCTATGAAAGACATTACTGTAACTTCTGCTAGGTATTTGGGTTATGCTGCTGAGAGCTCTAAGTTTAAAAACAATAACTTTGAGACCACTTCTTTGTGCCCAAAAGATTTGTTGATGTTTTTACAGGTACTGAAAAGCTTTTGTAATTACTAGTAAATTTTTACAGGAAAAGACATGCCCCAAGTAGGAGTTTCTGAAACGAATGTGATTTAAAATAACTGGGATGATTTTACAAGAATCTGCAGTCCTGGAAGATTTTTTTTCCTGCTCTGCTATGATCTCAAACAATAGATGATTGTTAGCAACACTTTATTTTTCTTCTTATCTCTTAGAATTTTCTCTTTCTCTGTTTCTCCCCACCATGATACTCATTAACTAGTATAGTAGTTTTCACTTTGATGTAGCAATTTGCCTGATCTAAACTTTCTTTGAGTGTTGTTCACTCGTTACTGAACTTGTACAAATACTATGTCAACTGCTTGGGATTATTAGTGCACTCAGAATAACCTGAGAACAAGCTTCTGTGGTTATGAGAACTGTGCTAGTTTTAACAGTGCAACAGCAAAGAGGAAATTCATGTTAGTTTAATATGATTAAAGTTTACTTCAGCAAAGGAGAATGATATTTTCAGTCTCTGAATTGCCCAGTGACCCTCACTGAACTACTTTTGCAATAGGTCTATAAAATTTAGCAATATTTGAAAAGGGATCTTATTTGCAGTTCTTATCAGGGGGCAATCTCCTCTAATTAAAGCAGCACTTTGTGCCTCATAGCTACAATCTAACATCGCTTTAAGTGTGATAAGGTTAATACAAATGAAAACTTGCATCAAGTATAGCATCATATGGAACACTAGTAGGCAAACTGTCATCCAAAGCTTCAATTTAATTTTGTAAGTTATAACTGCTTGTCAAGAAATTTTTACTTCATTTCCTTCATTTCCTTCATTTACCTCAATTTACCTTAAAATATTTATCGTAAGCAACAGAATATGCAGTTTTATCTGTGCAGAAACAAAATTGATATATACAGGGTATTTAGGTTTAAAACCAAGCAGGAGTATATTGAATTTCATTACCTTAAAAAGATCTATTTAGTCTTCTGGATAAACATGGAAAAGCATATGTTGAGAAGCTGCAGTTAGGCCTTCCTTGAGAGGAAGTGCTTTATGAACAGGAAATCAATGGCTAATTTTAAATAACTGTGGAAAGGTTTCTGTTCCATTTCCTATGACAAAATGATGATCGCAGCTTTAAAATCTTGTTTCTGAGAAATGAAAGACTGGGCACAAAGGCTTGGGACATTGGTCTTCTACCCGTGATTCTAGGCTGGCAAAAGATATTTATCCTTATGTATGGTCTTTCTTTCCATTGCAGGTTTAATACTTCTCAGGGGTTTCTGCTTTCCTGACTATGCATTGATTCTAACAGTTTGTTACAAAACTGTTAGTATTTCACAAGCTCACCTTTCCTCTTTGACTGTTAATTTAGACATAGTTTTTCTGTACTTGAATGATATATCCTAGCTTTAATTTTGTCCTCACTCCTTGTGGCTTTGCTTTTGTATAGACACTTCCATGTAGTGCACACTCTCATTTTGCGTGTATATATATTTAATTTCATCCCTTCAAAATATTTCTGTAATGTTTGCATTTGCAATAAATCAAATACCATTTGATTGTAAAGTATGTGAGTTGGTTCCAATCTAAGTCTTTGTCTTGCTCCTTTCCTCTTTGTCTTCTAGTTTGGACAATGGATCTTTGTAAACACATCACCTATTTAAGTTGTATTTTTGGCTAACAAATTTGCTGAATTTGTTTGAAGTACAGAATGTATAGGTGGATACCTTGAAATGCAGTTTGCCGTTCCCATCTCAACTGACTTCCAGAAACAAGGAATAATGTTGATAGGAATAGGCAGATCTGTCAGGTCAATGCATGGCTCCCACTCTGGTGTAATTTGAAAAAGTCTGGATTTTTTGACCATGGGATGATCTGTTCAACACCTGGCCTATTGACACCTGATGGGATGCACCTATCTCAGAGGGGAAAAAGAAGAAACCCAAGAGTTCTTGCACAGGAGCTAGTGGGGCTCATTGATAGAGCTTTAAACTAGCTGGGAAGGGGGAAACACCAGACTTGCTGGTGATGAGCAATGGGATGGTGTGCCAGACTCCAGGAAATGGGCATTAATGGGATCTGTCAATCTGCTTCATGAGCTGTTGGCTACAATGTCCCACACCTGAAATGTTTCTGCACCAATGCACGCAGCATGAGGAGCGAACCAGAGGAGCTTGAAGCTTTGGCCCAGTCCCAGAGACTTGACATCATTGACATAAGGGAAACCTGGTGGGATGAGACAGGATGAGGATGGTCCCCACAGAAACAGGGACAGAGACAAGGCAGAGGTGTTTAATACTTTCTTTGCCTCTCTCTTCAACATGGATGATGGACCAAGAGGGTCTCAGTGCCCTGAGCTGGAGGACCACAACTGTGAGAATAACTCCCAGCTGACCCTGAAATTGTGTGGGATCTGCTGCTCCAGCTGGATCCCTACAAATCTATGGGGCCTGATGGGATTCATCCCAGAATTCTCAAAGAACTGGTTGATGTCATCACAAAACCTCTCTCAGTGATTTTTTGAGCTGTCTTGGGAATCCAGAGAGGTCACAGCTGACTGGAAGCTGGCAAATGTTGTCTCGATTTTTCAAGAAGGGCAAAAAAGACGACCCTGGAAATGACAGGCCTGTCAGTCTCACTTCAGTGCCTGGTGAACTCATGGAAAATATTATTGTGGGAGGTATTGAGGAGGACAGCGCAGTCACTGGTCACAGCCAGCATGGCTTTGTGAGAGGGAAGTCCTGCTTATCAAACCTGATTTCCTTCTACAACAAGGTAAACCACCTGATTGATCAGGGAAAGCCAGCTGATGTAATTTTTTTGGACCTCAGCAGAGTTTTTGGTACTGTCTCTCACAGGATACTTCTGGAACAAAATGTCTAGCACACAGCTGGATAACCATGTTACTCAATGGGTGAAGCATTTGAGCAATGTTGTCAGGCACAGGGTGTGATCGTTGGGGAGTCCTGCGTAGAAACATGAGTTGGACTCAATTATCCTTGTGGGTCCATTCCAACTCCAGCATATTCTATGATTCTACGACTTGGGAAAGTTCATTTGTCAAACCTCAACTCTGATTCATTATCCACAGTTTCTCTGCAGACATTGGACAAATGCCTGTTTAGGCTCTCCTTCCCTGCTCTTAGTTGATCAGTTATTGCTAAATCTTTTAGGAAATTTTATCCTTCTTTCCCATCTCTTGTAGCCTTTTTTTAAAATATTTTTTTTACCCGCAACAAAATTCTGAGTTCACTCAATTTTTGTATAGCTCTCAGAACAGAAATACTTTTCAGAAATTTATTTGAAATATTAAATGCTAATTTTTAGAGAGCATGAATTATTCTTTGGGTCTAAAAGTCCATGCTTTTTCCTTAACAGATTTTCTCTAAATTTGGATATGTCTTGAAGATTGTCATGTTCCATAAGAACAATCAATTCCAAGCGTTGCTCCAATACGCTGATGCAATGAATGCATATTGTGCCAAAATGGTAAGTACACTGTATTCAAATTGATTTTTTTTGTTTGTTTGTTTGCTTGTGGGGGGGGTTTCCTCTCCCCTCTGGTAAGGGGGGAACATTGGGGATATCTTGACCATTACCTTATGATTTCTCATCATTCTAACCCTCTTGATGCACATGAATAACTTTTGACATCCCTCATTAGTTAAGAGGACAGCACTCTATCATCAAACTGCAAACAAATATATAGCACACACCTAAGTGTATGAGTCTACCAAAACAAAAGTCATTGATAAAGTCCCCTCTCAGTCTTCTGGAGGCTGAACGGGCCTAGCTCCCTCTGCTTTTCTACATAAGAGAGATGCTCCAGTCCCCTCATCCTTGTAGCCTTCCAGTGGACCTGCTCCAGGAGCTCCGTTTCTCTCTTGTCCTGAGGAGTCCAGAACTGGACACAGCACTCCAGTTGAGGCTTCACCAGGGCTGAGCAGAGGAGCCAGATTATCTCCCTCTTCCTGCTGGAATGCTCTTCCTAATGCATCCCAGGATACCATTGGCCTGCTTGGCCGCAAGGACACACTGCTGGCTCATGAGCACTTTGTTGTCCACCAGTATCCCCACGTCCTCCACAGAGCTTCTTCACAGCAGGTCGACCCCCATCCTGTGCTGGTGCCTGGGGTTATTCCTCCCCAGATGCAGAATCCTGCATTTGCCTTTGCTGAATTTCAGAGGGTTTTGCTCTGCCTATCTCTCCAGTCTACCAAAACAAAACTCAGAACTGTCAGTAGTGATGAGTGACAGTAGCTGTAGTTGACCGAAAAGGTTTACCTTTCAAACAGAATGGAATAGTTTCAATAAGGTTCAATGAAGAGAGTGTAGTTAAATGCCCAGAAATTAAATGAATATTACATGTTTTACTTGCTTGAATTTCAGTGAGAAATTTACAACAATCAGTGTTTTCATCTTGTAATTCTTAATTTCAAACAAACTGTTTGCTGAGTTTTAAAATGCATGTTCTCACTGATGAAGGAAAGCTCACCTACTCGGGTGTATTTTCTGTGGTGGGGTAACTTTGGCTAGCTGCAGGAACTCACCAAGCTGCTCTCGCTCCCCTTCTTTAGTAGGACAGGGGGAAAAATAAAAATGAAAAAGCTTGTGAGTCAAGATAGTGCAGGGAGATTGCTCAACAATTACTGTCATAGGCATACAGACTTGACTTAGGATAAGTAAGGAACAAAAACACCTTTCCTACTCCCTCATTCTTTCCTCCCAGGCTCCATTTCCCTCCCAGTCCACTACCTCCTTCCCCTGAGAAGTGCAGGGGATAGGGAATGGGGACTGTGGTCGTTCCATAACACTTTGTCTCTGCTGCTCCTTCCTCCTCACACTGTTCCTTTTGCCAGCTTGGGTGGTTCTGCCAGGATACAGTCCTTCCCTAACTACTCCTGTGTGGGCCCTTCTGTCATGGGCAGAATGGAAGCATTGGACAAGGTTTACTGGGGAGACCCTCCTGTTGTGTCACAAAGTGCAGAAAGGACCCACTTGCTTTCTAAACTCCTCAGAGAGGAGTCCAAGTGCAGCTGGATCCAATCTTAGCCTCAGACTTAGTTAATAGTTTATGTTTAAAGGAATTATGTAGGTGTAATTGAGCCTTTATACAACTCTGTCCCACTGGATTAAGGATGTCAAAACAAATATATTTATATTAATAAGGTAAATTATTTATTTAACTGGATGATAATAATTAGACTAAAAAACATTAGTCAGAATTATTTAGCACATAGTATAGATAAAACTAATACTACAGTGCAGTATTTATTGAAACAATATTGAAGCAATGATATTAAAGCTAGCAAAAAAAATTACTCAGTAGCAATGGCTGTGGGCTAATATCTTGCTTAGCCTCCGAGAGTAACCTTGAGGGGCATCCACACCCAAGAGAGGAATCTACACACGTACTTCTAGAAGGGGTGTGTTAGGAGACCCTGCTGTTAAAAAGTGGGACTGGGCTTTTATAGTACAGAGTCATTGACTGTCAGTCAGATGTCTCCAAGCCAACTGTGTCAACTCAGCAGCTTTAGATAGGTTATCAGTAGGATCAGTTGTTTGTTCCTTTATCAGGTACTTTGTACACCACATCCTCACTGGTGCCAATTTCTGTCAGGGAACATTGTTCTTCCTCAGAATGTTTAACTTTGGAATTGATGACTCAGGCTGGTCTCAGCATCCTTCAACACCATAAGCAGCATGACCTCCTTTTCCATCCACTACTGATAACTTCTGCAAGTAGGGTAAAGTTCAAGCTGGTTATCCTCACTTAGGCAGAACAGCCTGATACACCATCCCACAGGTTGTAAGTGGGATGGATATCTGTTCCACTGTGGGTGTCCATGGGCTGCAGGGGGTCAGCCTGCCTCACCATGGTCTCCAGGGGAATCTCTGCTCCTCCTCCTCCTCCCCCTCCTTCTCTGACCGTGGTGTCTACAGGGATGGTTCTCTCACTTGTTTCTCGCATCTCACGTCTCAGCTGTCGCACACTGGTTTTTTAGCCTTTCCTAAACATGTTGCCCCAGAGGTGCCACCAGTATTCTCCTCCACTTTGTATAGCAGCAGATACTTTTTTTTGAAAATACTCAATATATTTTTTATGTAAACAACTTATTCTTAAAGTTTTCTTATAATGACTAAATATTTTAATTTCTAAAAAATACTGTTAATTAGTTTCCTCAGTGACGAGTAGTTTTATAATTAAATGTTGAAAGCTGAGTACTTCAGAACTTTTGCAGAAGGCACAGCACTGTTAAAATCATTGGGTTATAATACTTGAACTGTGAAGTTAAAAATAAAGACAAAAATAAAACACTTCACTTACTTGAAGTTAAGCCTGAAACACTTTGATTTTATTTATTTACTAATATTGAGGTGACCACATATTTTAAAGAGAAATAGAATCTGAAAATTTCCATTGAAGTATATAGAATAGATTCCTCTAAGTATTAAGTGGTAATTAGGATTCAGTTAAAAAAAAATTACTGAAAGATGAGATAGAATGGAACTTTTACCTTACTTTTGTTATTTAACTTGACTTTATTCTCAGCTTCAACATTAAAGGTTCAGGATATTTACGTATTTCTACTTGCACTTTAGTTCAGCAAGTAAATTCACTATATGTTCAAAAGTTAAGAATATATTGGAAATTAGTAAATGTAGTTGGATTTATAGGCTGGTTGTTAGCAATAGTATCTTTTCTTGAAGAAGAGTATTTATAATAAATTACACCTAATTAAAGATTTCACAGAAATTAAAATTTCAGTCTAAATTATTTTAAGTAATTTTGACAAACCAGTATCTTTTGAGTGGTTTTCTTCCCCCTTCATCCATCATGATTCTTTTATGACTGGTATAGGCAGAAAATACTACTTCAGTGATCTTTCTGAGCATAGCTACTCATAAGAAAATGGATTTTATGGATTCACAGGTTGGGTAAGGTTGGAAGAGACCACTATAGGTTATCTAGTCCTACCTCCCTTCTCAAGCAGTGTTCCCTAGAGCACATTGTGCAGGATTCATGTGCAGATGGCTTTAGAATATCTCCAGGAAAGGAAACTCTACAATCTCTCTGGGCAATCTGTTCCAGTTCTTGGTCACCCACACAGTAAAGAAGTTCTTCAGGTGGAACTTTGAAATCCCATTTGATAATTCCCAAGTTACCCTTGCTGTCTTTAGTTCTCATGTGAAACGGCAGCAGGAGGTAATAGTCAGATATGTGGAAAAGCCTTAGCAGTCTTTGCATTACATCTGTGATTCAAGCTCCTGGCACATGACACCTTTTTAGATCAGCAGTCAGGTCAGCAGATGAGTGCCTCTGTCCTCTTCAGCAGGGAGTTAGCCACAACAATCACCCACCCCTTCTTTTGGGCGATCTGCAGCACAGGATCCATCTGCTCTGTTGCTTCACTTGAAGTCAAGCCCAGCTCCAGGGGTTTACATTGAAAAAGAACCTTGAGGTCATTGAGTCCAATGATAAACCCAACACTGCCCAAGTTCACCTCTAAACCGTGTACCTAAACACCACATCTCCACATCTTTTAAATACCTCCAGGGGCGGTGACTCCACCACTTTCCTGTTCCAGCCTGTTCCAATGCTTGGTAACCCTTCTGATGAAGAAATTTTTCCTAATATCCAATCTAAACTTCACCTCACAAAACTTGAAACCATTTCTTCTGTCCTGTCACTTGTTACATGGGAGAAGAGAGCAACCCCCACTTCACTACAGTCTCCTTTCAAGTTGTAGAGAACAATAAGGTCCCCCCCGAGCCACCTTTTCTCCAGGCTAAACAACCCCAGCTCCTTCAGCAGGTCCTCACAGGATGCTCCAGACCCTTCACCCGCTTATGTAGGGGTCAGTTCCATGCAGTAAGAATTTCCAAATTAGTATTGGTACTAGCACCTGATATTGTGTGTTGAGTGGGAGACAAGTGAGATCAGAAACACAGAAAGTCATGTCATGCTTGAAGCTCTGTTTTGTCCAATTGGCACGAAATGATGTAATACTTACTAACTAGTGGACTACACTGGAACTGTATACAGGATGTTTAGGTAAGGATAGTAGCAGCGTAATTGTCTACTTGGTGTTTAAAACCATCAGTGACTTTAAAAACAGAGGATGAATTACTATTTGGATACAATTGCAAGGTGAAAATCATGGAATGGTTTGGATTGGAAGGGACCTTTAAAGGTCATCTAGTCCAAACCCTCTGCAATAAACTGGGACATCTTCAACTAGATCAGGTTTCTCAGAGCCCAGTCCAATGAGCATCAATCACCTCTCTGTGCAACCTATGCCATGTTTCACCAGCTTCATTGTAAAAAGCCTCTTTCTCATATCGAATCCAAATTGACCCACTTGTCCTGTCGCAACAGGCCCTGATAATAGGTCTGTCCCCATCTTTCTTATAGGCCACTTAAGTACTGAAAGGTTGCAATAATAAACTTATAACAGTGGCTGCTGCAATGTGTTTTGAATCTGAAAATGTAATTATTTTTCTTCAGTCTCTGGATGGCCACAGTATCTATCCTGGGTGCTGCACTCTGCGTATTGATTTCTCCAAGTTAAATACCCTAAAAGTAAAGTACAACAATGACAAAAGCAGAGATTTCACTCGCATTGATCTTCCTTTTGGTGATGGCCAACGAACCCTGGATGCATCATTAACTGCTACCTTTGGTAAGAAACCTTCACTTCTAGTGATAAATACACACTAAGATAATAATTTTTATGTTGCATTTATGCTCTAGTTTCATATCAAGTTCCTAGAAGGGTACATTTTGCATACATTTCTGTGTGTTAGGTCCAGTAAGATTTGTATGGAAAGCAGAAAGTCCAGCTCAAGATAACTTAATATCTGTAACTATAACATGAGGAATGCTCATGGGCAAACTCAAGGTGTTGTCAAAAAGCTGCATTTGTAAAATGATTTGGAATGGTATTATTAGTACAGGTAATATAATAAATGTTGCATATCAGTATGGTCAGTGAAAGTCATCACCAATTAACATTGGTTGCCTAAGGCTGCTTGAAAGTAAGTGTTCTAAGGGTGTTGGCTCTTATTAGAGTATATTTTAGGATAACTGCCTGCTGTAACAAAGAAAAACTATAAGAAAATTCAAAATGCCGCATTTATAAATGTTTGTAGTCACCTTCTGAAAGATAAAATTTTAGAAGTTTTCTTGAATTTTAGAAGTCACTTCCATGGCATATAGGGAGACAGTGTCTGCTTGAAGTGACACTGGAGAAGCCCTTTTGGCTTAAATGACTCTACCATGCTCATTTAACTAGCTTTAGGAATAATGCAAATCACCAAACACATTGGTCTGATGACCTGAAGTGCTCACAGTGCAATTTGAGCTATTTTAGCTATTTTTCTTTCTCTCTAATGATAATGGTTAGCAATAATACATAGGTATGAGCTGCCTTAGCTGTTGAATAGGTATCTAAGTGCTGTCCAATTGATTAGCACAGTAGAAAGGGTGGGGGAATAATTCCCTTTTTTCCTTTAGTTTTCTGTGATGGCTAGGGCAGAAACCCAGAAACTGGGTTTCGTTTGATTTTTTGGACAGTTGAGTTAGTTAGCTTAGATTAGAATAAGAATGTGAGGTGCTCTTACTACTTTCTTGGTTGTTTTTACTGCTCCCCTGAAGACAGGCTTTGGATCTTTACTTTATGTACAACTGTCTTTATACTGAGGGGTGGAGCGAGGGGGGCAGAATTTGCCATACAGCATTATAGAAGTATGCTGTTACAGGTCTAATATATTCTGATTAATTAGACTTGCACTATTTGAAATGTCATTGGAAGGGGAAAGTAAAATTAGAATAGATTAAAGATGAGCTTGCAAAGATAACTGTATGCTTTTGTAGGATAACACATGAAAGCTGCTCCATTTCCTCCCCTTCACTCTTCCAAGCTTCTCATTTTTATATTACAGTTTTCATTTGCTATAATAGTAAGAACAACAGAGGTGCTGTATGAAGAATAGTCTGATGTCTGTACCAAAAAGTGTTTATAGTGAAATCACAGTGAAGCAGCTGCATAGATACTTTTCTTTTAAGAAAATAGCTGTAGATGAGGAAAAGCATGCTTCTTAACCTTTCTGTCGGTGGTGACAACATGTATATGTTGTCATTGGCATGTTCTGATAGACTTAGTTACAGAACATGAGAAAAAGATGTTGTGAGTCATGTCAGCACTTGCACTTCCTGTGTTATTACTAGTGGATGTATTTTTGATGGAGAATTATAAGATAAAGCAGGTAACTATCAGAATAATACTTTTTTTTCCTAGACTTGAAGTTGTCTTAATAGCAAAACTGAACTGCTCTTGAAACTTGTTTCTCTCTTTTTTTCTATTAAATTTTGGTTTTGTTGGAAAAGACACTGTAAAAATGCAGATTTTGTGAATATTTTGCACATAAAGAGTTCTTTCACCCAGTGAGCATAAGCACAGATACATGAAGTTGCTTGCTTTGAAAGCTAGCTACTAGCCATGAAGCAAATGATTTTACACATTAAAGAAAAAAAAAAAGGCCACAAAGAATTCCAGATCTTTCAGCATTAGTTCAGTTTGACAATTTTTACATGCCTGATTTTGGTATCAGTGTGCAACATGCAAGTCTTATTTGGCAGAATAAAAGCTGTTTATCTATTTCTTTGTTAATGTTCCATTACCATTTTTAGGTTGTGAATAAGTGATTAATAACTGTGTTGCCAGAACTTGTCAGGATAATGCACCAGTACATGTATTTCAAGAACAAAATTACTTGCTTTGGTGTGATAAATGTATTCGGTTGTTTGTATGAAAGACACTTTGTTGCCACAGATAAGAGTAGGTGTAATGTGATGCAATATTCATGAATACTTGATCTTTGGTGTTTGTTCCATTTGTCGCTTTTGTAATTCATAATGGATACTTATGGTATTGTATCATACATTGTATCAAGGACCATTCACTAGTGAATGTGGCTGTATTTTAGTCAATGGTGGAGGTTTGAGTAGTAAAACAGACATATTACCAAGCTTGTAGGATGTATTTCTTGATTATACATGTCCCATTTTAGAGAAAAAATGTGGTGTTTGCTAACGTATGAAAGAATCCACAACTCAGGCTTGTACCTAATTGCCTCTTAGAACACAAGTTTTTCTGCTGCCTTGGGTAGCACTTAACTCCACATACTAATGTGGAAATCACTGAGCCATCTTTGAGGCTGGGACTGTCCATATGTTGCTATTCCAAATCTGTTTCATGGTTGTGATTTCCAGAGGAACCATAAAAACCACTGATTATTTATGAAGTTATGCAAACTGGGAAAGTACATCTCTTTAAAAAGCAAAATACATATACTTTATGCATCTCAGCAGCTAGTAAAATTCAGAATCTCAGATCAGTTGTTGTTGTTTGTCTTGTTTAGCTTATACTCATTTTAGAAATGTCAAGGAAATAGTTTTATCTTAACATTGCAAAACATCTTTGACTATATTTACTTCCAGCAATTTCTAGAATGCATGTCCATCATGTGAATAAAAACTGTTGAACACCACAGACATATTAACTTTATTGGATACTAGTCTATGCTGTGCTTTCCTATTCAGACTTGTCTACCTTATGTTTTGCCCTAACTTCATTTTAGAGAGGGACATTGAGGCTGATCAGAATATTTGCCTTCAAAAGTGTCTGAAAATTGTCTTTGTAAAACATAGAATCATGGATTTCAATGAGAGATTTTAATGCAAATGTTTTATAAGATGTGTAACGACAGACAAAATCAGAATAGCAACACTGGCAGCTGACTCTGAGTCTTGAAACCTCTTCTGTTTTCCAAAACTTTTAAAATCTCTTTAAATTAGATGTGTCTTCTCTCTCTAGCCACTCCAAATACGATATTCCCATCATATCCAGGGGCTGCTGGATTTGCCCAACCCTTGGGCTTTCCTCAAGGTGCTGGTAAGTTTGTATTTTCTAAAAATGTGATATTTGTAGTTATGGCTAGTGGGCTACTTGAATACACCTGTTTAAAGCAAACTGTTTTCAGATATAGCAATCAGAACACAGTATCCCTTTGAATAATTCTGATTCTCTTTCTCATATAACTCAGTAAAATTACTTTCTGTAATAAAAAACATTACTGATGTAGTTTATAGTTTAATAAGAAATTAAATGCCACGATAAATATAACCTGCAAGAGAAGAAATTAAGCATCTATTTTTCTAAGAATCATCAGACTTTAATGATATTCAATGCAAATACAGGAAGTCTCCCCTTTCCTGGCTAGAAAGTGAGAAATAAATAGTTTTTTAAACTGAGTGATCTTTTCCTTTCTAACACAGGATAAACTTTTGTGCTGAATTATTTTTCTTCTTTCTTGAACTGTAATTTGTGTCCCCTTCTGTTTGGGTCTGTTTGGGTAGCTGAATATTTCTTCATCTCTGAAAGGGAAGCACTTCCTGCTTTATTGGTCAAGTACTATTAATAACTAAATTCCTTAAAAGCATTTTTAAATTGAATATTGATGTTTTTGCCAAACATAACCTGGTTTTGTCTTCTTTCTCTTCCACTTTGAGATGTCAAGTGATGCTCTTTATACCCTTCCAGGTATTTCAGTTCCAGCTGCTCCTGGAGCACTTGGTTCTCTCACAATCACCCCGTCAACAGTGTCTGGACAGATTCCTGGTGTTACTGGTATTCCAGGAAATTCTGTTTTACTGGTCAGCAACCTCAACCCTGAAGTAAGTTTGATTAGTGGAACTGATGCAAGTATCACCTTGTACCAAAAGCCAGAATCCTTCTTGGAAATGGATGTTAGCTGAAGGAATAAGAGAAATTCTTTATGCTGCTAATATAAAAAACAGGACAGCTCTATACTTGTTTGAGGTAGTTTGTAATATTGATGAGGTTGAAAAACTCTGGCCATCTATGTGCTGCTTTATCTGTAAAGAGGGCAAAGGATTTTTCATTTATTAAAAAACAAGGAGTTAGAAAAAAAGAAGGGAAGAGAAAAGGAGGTGAAAGCATGCCAAATCAAGTAGCTTTCTAAACATGCATAGAATCTTTCTAGTTTTGCAACTTTTCCCAGGTTGGAGAGGAAGCGCACAGGTATGCTTTGCTATTGACATCACTGTACATCTGTTTTTAAAAGTGAATATATACACATGTTCACTTTTCAAAGTACCACACAGATTTTGATTTTTTTCATATGTTGGCAGTAAAATTACCAAGGACAACTTGGAAAGTTATTTTTGTAGTGGAAGTGACATAGGCTATTCTATAATCTTACTCCTGTTAGTCAAATATTACAGACTGATCTGTGCTTAATTAAAAGCCATGTACATCTTTTAAAAAAAACAAAAATCAAGCTCTACCAAGGCCATAACTTAAAATACAATTCTACTTGATTGTTGATAAGCAGTCCTATTGCAGCAATGTAAAATTCTTGTTTTACACACTCAATACATTTACTTAACCATAAAACTGTTAAAATTAGAAGTGATGGCAAAATGGAAGTTACTTTCATATTCTGAGGTTTAAAAATCTGTTGACCAGTTTCTTTAAGTAATTGTTTTGTTCTGTTTTTGTACTAGCAGCCAAATTCCACGGTAAGCATCAAAAGAAACAGCTGCAGATAGGACTGTAAGACAAGTCACTTTTTCTTTGATTTGTCAACACATCCTATCAGTGAGTTTCTGATGATGGCTGTGGATATGCTTTCTGCAGCTGATTATTCAAGATGATTCTCTGAATCTTAAAAGAGTGTGTTTCTTAAGAATAAGCATATGTCAAAGATAGGTCAGAGCTATTTTTAGGACATTGCTCCTTTACATAATACTAACCACATCTAAGGAGTCATGTAGAACTTTGTGATGTAATGCATGTTACAGTATCAATGCATTAAATAATGCTCGACTTCTTAAAAGGTGTGAAATAACTATGTACAACAACATTAATTGTTGGAAATATATTTTGTGGCAACTGCGTAACACTTGTCCTTCAGTAGTGGTTGTCTGAGCCCTGTCACTTCTTTTTCTATGTATAGAAAATCTTATTGAGCTTATTTCAATTTGTATTTCTCCCCATTGCAGAGTTTTAGTGTGCACTTGAACATTTCCTTGCGACTTTTAAATTACCTGGCTTTGTCTTCCAAACACATTTTTTTTTTTTTTAGAAAAATATTGAGATCTCATTTGGATAAGAAATTTCTTAAAAACACCCCTCCATGCTGAATTAAAATATTTAGGCCAGAAAGATAAACTCTTGACGAATTTAAATTTCACATTGCTAGTAATTGTTCTCTATTACTAAATGCTAACGATAAATGGGTATGGGCTTGCACTTAGGCTGCAGTATCTTCCTTTTTTGAAAAATTCAGATATTTTGTTACACATTTCAAATGTTGTGAGATAAGAAGGAATAGGGCTAGAGGGTGTAAGTAGTGCTTCTGATACCCAGGTATTTTTAATACTGGCAAAACTTTTACTCAATTGAATAAATTTTGGTTGTATTAGGATGTAAATGATCTTCTTTGGTGCTTGGCATACAAGAATTTAATTGAACAGCTTCTGTTCAATCACAATTTAAATACCACTTTCTATACGCTTCATATATAAACAGTTAAACTGTATGTATATCACTTTAGAATGTCACAGTCATCACATAAAGGAATGGGGACAAAATTGAAGACAAAGCAAGCACATTTTGAAGCAACTAGGTTTGGTTTCATAGGTGTTGTCTGCTGTTTACAAAATAAAAAGGAGTTCTTGAATGTTCTTTTCTATTTTTAGTTCAGCAAATGTCTTTCATTTTTTCAGGGAATGAGCTGCTAGCTTAGAATAAGTTCAAATAATGAAGCTACTTAAAATATTAATAACTTCTGCAGCATGACAGACTGAGTCTTGAGTGACGAATATGCATGAGCTGAAGTGTTAGCTTGTTTAAGTATTTCACATGTGCATTGCAAATATATACTAACAAGTACATTGTAGTTATTGCAGGGAATGGCTTTTGGAGAGACAGGTTTAAGTATTGGTATGCAGTATTTCTTCCATTCTTTTTGTTTACCATACACTTATGGAATAGATGTCTTTATTTGCATGGCTTTAGAAATAATATACTCATTTTATCATTTAAACAGGCCATCACACCATATGGACTTTTCATCCTATTTGGTAAGATATGTCAAATATCCCTTGAGAAACCACAGGGCTAGCATTCTTTTTATTTATCTGACACCTGCTGGTTAATTCAAGCTTCATTGTTTTGTCCATATCCAAAAAATGCACAAGAGAATACACTGGTTTTAAAATTACAGTAATTTGAGTCAGGAGTTATAGGCCACAGATACCAAAAAAGGCAAAAGATTTACAGTGTCACATGAATTTCAGTGTGTGGTCCAGTTTGTTTACTACAAAAATGGGAAGACAAAGTAAGAGGAAAAAACAAATATTGCATCAGAGGAAATGCTGTATAGAATTGGATCATACATTAATTGCAGGGGACAATGTTTGGCATAGTAGTATTTTAATAAGCCTCCGTTAAGGGGACTTTGACGACTGATTAAAAGCTGATTAAAAGCTGAACATAAACATGCAGTTTTATGACTAAGATCCTGGGGGTTTTCCTCCATTTTGGAGCCTCAGAAAATAATACACAAACTTCAAAACTGTCCTTCATACTAATATTCTAACCAAGCTGTTGAATGAGATGATTATTTTTTGTAAATCTAATGTTAATCAAAAGAAACAGACTTGCCCTTCTGCTGCTATGAAAAGATTTCCTTTCTGTATTTCCACAGGTGTATATGGTAATGTACATCGTGTGAAGATTATGTTTAAGAAAAGAGGAATTGCTTTGGTTCAGATGGCAGATGCAACCCAGGCTCAATTAGGTATTGATTTTTAAGGCACAGTTATGCTTCAAACTAGCATGAGCATAATATAAAGGAAGAATTTGCCCTCTGTCAGTGACAAGCATAAACAAATTCAATCCATCATTGTGCTGGATTACTACATACAAACTTTTCCTTACTTATGTTGATAATACTCTTAGTGGTTTAAAAACTAAGTTCCTGTGAATCTCAATCTAGTAAATGTTAGAATTAAAACATCATACAATTTTCCCATAGTTTGTCTTAATAATACATCATATGATTTTCCTGTAGTTCATCTTATATCTAGCTATTTAATAATAATCAACTGTTCTTTATTGAAATGATGTTTTGCATTTTTGTTGCATTTAGACTGGAGATTATATTACATCCTTTTATTTGTTTTAAATATAATGTTGTGGCATAGCCCACCTGGTAGACAAGCAAGTTGCAGTTTAAATTTAGAATGTGAAATCTGGCACTGAATAGAAAACAATATTAGTATTTAAAGAATCGTTTTTTCTTCCCCTCCATTTATTCCTGTTCAAATTAAATTTCCACTGGTTAGCTATCAACCACTTGAATGGACAGAGGCTTTATGGAAGGGTCATGCATACTACTCTTTCAAAATATCAGACAATTCAACTTCCTCGTGAAGGGCAAGAAGACAAAGGTCTGACAAAGGACTATAGCAATAGCCCTTTACATCGCTTTAAGAATCCTGGCTCTAAGAACTGCCAAAATATTTTTCCTCCATCTGCCACCCTGCATCTCTCCAACATCCCGTGAGTATCTACATGTATGATTTTCTTGAAGAGATGTTTTTTAGGTTGTGTTCTTAAGTTACAAATTTTGACATAAGCTTTACATTCCCCTGGCCTTCATTCTGCTATGGGTCATTCTGCTGTATAACTAACAACAAGTGAATCCTTTAACTGTACCTTTTTTTATCATTAGCAATGAGGATAACTGTTTGAATGATCTTCTTTATGAGTTTTAATCAGTTTACATTTTCTTGAGAGTATGCTTTTGTTCTTTTACCTATTAAGTTCTGTGTTACAAATTTTCACAAAGATTAAAGACGTGTTTTGAGATTACGTACTGGAATTACATGACAACAAATCTGTCATTGACATTGTTACTTAATATAGATACAGTTTTGAATAATTCTTACACTTCTAAAAGAGTAATTTCTACAGAATTCAGACCTCTTACGTAGAGCGGAAGTTGTAAAAAAAAGGTGTTAAGAATGGTGTTCTTTAAGAGTGAAACAATCTTTTTTTAAAATCTAGACTGTTGTCAACAATGTATGGAGTAACAGCCAAACATAAGTTTTTACAGGCTTCTTTTGTTTGGCAGCTGTGCAGGGAGGGAAAGGAGGAAACTGGAATTATGTCCAAGTAACAAAGGAAATTATAAGACACTTAGAAAATGGCTTTTTGAATAAAATAAAAAGCTTCAGAACTGAAAATACATGAAGCACAATCACTCAAATTTCAAGATGAAATGTATTCATGAAGGTACTGATTAAGATCTTAAGAGAATTTTATGCAATCTGAATTTAACTGAGAAAGAAATGGGCTTGGATGAAAAGCAGCAGAGTGTAGCTGAAATAATTTTGTAGCACAAAGGCAAGTTGTTTGGGCTGAAGTGTTGACAAAGTTTGAGTTGGTGGAGATAGTTTTTGCTGTTCAAATTTAATTTAGAAGCCAAGATTGAGATCTCGATATTATTATAGAACTTTGTGCTCTTCTACAAGTTGAGAGGGGCTTGTTTTGGTTTTGTTTGTTTGTTGTTTTTTTTCAATTAGGCCTTCTGTTACTGTTGATGATTTGAAGAACCTTTTTGCAAGTAAAGGATCTACTGTGAAAGCCTTCAAATTTTTCCAGTAAGTTCTCTTGTAAAATTGCTGAGCAAGCTTTCATCCTGGAAGATGGCTATTGCTTTTTTGTGACGTTCCATGTATTTATAACTATAGGCAGAATTCCATGTACATATACGTATAGGCAAAAGCAGTGACAATTTTAATGAAAATTTTAATCTTAAAATTTTAAATGAGATGCTATGTTATCATAATTAAATCAAAAATATGCACCCTTTGGACAAATATATGTTCAAAGTAAAGTAAGTTTAAGAAACGTAAATGCTTACTTCTTTAAAAAATGCAAGCTGAATATATGTGAAATGTCATATAAAAGATGATAATGTCTCTGCTCTAACACTGATCAAGGTTACTTGGCAGCATTATTTTAGCACAATCATACCGGCTAGAATAATCCCATCTATATGGACAATACAAGTGTTTCCTAGAGGCCTTCAAGCCTTATTTTGACCCAGTTTTTTGAAGTCCGGTGTTATGAAAGAATGGCATGACTCTAGGCCATTTTTGCAAAATTTATACAGTTTTGTTATCTTTGCATTTTAGTAGGTGCATAACTAGTTCTGACTCTTTTGCTGTACAAGTGTTCAGTGTGTGTGATATGGCTGAAAACAACCACTTATGTGACTCTTCTGTGTTGGTTAGTGAAAATTTGGTGAAGATTAATAATGGTTTTTATTGTACTTCAGGAAAGATTGCAAAATGGGTCTTATCCAACTGGGCTCTGTGGAAGAAGCAGTTCACGCTCTCATTGAGCTTCACAATCATGACTTTGGAGAAAACCAGCATCTCCGAGTTTCCTTCTCAAAATCTACAATATGAATTTTCTGTGCACTTTCCTTTTAATATAGTAAAATCTTCAGAGACTGAGAAAGCTGAGACCAGCTCTGTCTCTTAAAAGAAGAAGCTCATTCATACACAAAGAATTAGGTGATGATTCTGAATTTTCTGATTCTATCTGCAAGTATGTGATCCATAGAAAGATTATTCTGTGAAATAGCTTTAGCAACAATATTTATCAAATTTCCTACTTAAAATTATATTTTGAGAACATCCTTTATGTTTTTATTCTAAATTAGCCTTAGAAAACATTTTAGAGTGCTTTCACAATACACCAAACAAAGAGTATTATTAACAAAATGGTAAATATACTCTACGAAGATTAAACACTAATTTGAATGCGAAGTAGCGCTCGGGTTTCTTGAAGAAAAGCAAGCAGTGACTGTGAGTATCCTCTAAATAGTATTTATGTTACCAGGGTGTGGATTTATACTTTGGCAATTCTTTACAAATAACTTGTGGCATATTAATATAATACGTAAATAAATTACAGTAGCCCGGCTTACTCTTTGGGGGTTCAAAGCCAAATCCTCTTTGTTCAAATGAAACAACACCTTATGTACGGGAGTTCAAAGTAACACGTGACTCCTCTGACCAATCACCAGGGGTACCTCATTTTATCCATGTTCATGGGAGTACACTTGGACTTCATTTCCCAGGATGCCTCATCCAGCATCTTTCCTGAAACCCGACTCCTACAATAACTTGTTTATAAAAATAAAAAGTCTGTGCTGTTCCTACAGATTAAATTATTAGAGGAAAGGCAGTGCCTTTTCTTTGTGGAATAAAAGATATTTCACAAGTTTCTTCAAGTTGTAGGATCAGACATTTAGGTTGATTTAACCGTGGGATGGAAGTTTGATGTCCTATTTTTACTATGAAGTGATGGGTAATAGTACTTTGGAGAATATAAAACAAGAAAATAGTCGTGATTTAAAATAAATTTTTGCATTTCTCTAAATAATTGTTTACAATCTTATGGAAACTATTCAGGTCTGTGATGGTTTGATAGGTTTTAAAGAAGTTATTTTTGTTAAGGTTATCTTTGGGGGCAGAAAAAACCCCACCTTTAAGAGTTTTTTTTACCACTAATGTCTAATACTTAAATAAATGTGTATTTACCTTATTTCTTATTATGTGCCTTATATGTGTGTATTATACAATAGCTTAGAATGTTATCTGAACTATCTTGAAAAAATATTGTGAGCTTTGTGATAATTCTCTTCTTGGTCTTTTTAAAAATGTTTTCCTTGATACTTAAAGATATATTTTTTCTTTAGGTAATTCTCTGAATTCTAGTTTCTTGTGCTTTTTTATAGAGATTCGATATAGGTGGTAATAAGGTTTAACTCACTATGTAATCGCATAGGTGGTTCTTTGAATTTACTTAGTTGCAGTTGTCTGATGACAGTTCTTTGCTAAAAAAAATTCACATCCAGAAAAAATACACTAAAAAACCCGAACAAACCTACATAGAAAGGCCAAACAGGAAATTCACTTCAGTTTCTGGACTTTATCTTATTTTTTGAGGGGCATTGGCTGTATTACAATATTCTCTTTTGGGTGTCTGCATCTTTTTTTGCAGAATCACAGAATCAACCAGGTTGGAAAAGACTTCTGAGATCATAGAGACTTTGACCCAACACCACTCTGTCAACGAGACCATGGCACTAAGTGCTACATCCAGTCTCTTCTTAAACACCTCCAGGGACAGTGACTCCACCACCTTCCTGGGCTGCCCATTCCTGTCTGATCGCTCTTTCTGTAAAGAATTTCTTTCTGATGTCTAACCTAAACCTCCCCTGGCACAGATTAAGACTGTGCTCCCTTGTTCAGCTGCTGGTTGCCTGGGAGAAGAGATCAAGCCTCACCTTACTCCAGCCTCCTTTCAGCTAGTTGTAGAGAGTGATGAGGTCTCCCCTGAGCCTCCTCTTCTCCAGGCTGAACATCCCCAGCTCCCTCAGCCTCTCCTCATAGGGCCTGTGCTCCAGTCCCTTCACCAGCCTTGTTGCCCTTCTTTGGACACTCTCCAGCACTTCAATATCCTTTCTGAACTGAGGGGCCCAGAAGTGGACAAGGTGCAGCCTAACTAGTCTTTGGTAACTATGTTTCCCTCCTTGTCCAACAAAGAATGGAGGTTCTCCTTGTCCCTCCTTTTGCTGTTGATGCATTTATAAAAACGCTTTTTGTTGTCCTTAACAGAAGTGGCCAGATTACATTCAAATTGTGCTTTTGCCTCTCTAATTTTCTTTCTATATGACATAACTACATATGACAAACACTTCATGAGTTGCCTGCCCTTTTTTCCAAAGGTGATAGACTCTCTTTTTTTCCCTAATTTCCTGCAAAATCTTCCTGTTCAGCCAGGATGGTCATCTTTCCCACTGGTTCACCTTTGGGCACATAGGGACAGCCTGCTCCTGTGCCTTCAAGATTTCTTTCTTGAAGCATGTCCAGCCTTCCTGGACCCCTTTTGTTTTTAAGGGCTGTTTCCCAAGGTACCCTCTGAACCAGCCTCCTGAATGGGCCAAAGTCTGCCCTCCGGAAGTCCGAGGCTGAGGTTTTGTTGACATCCTTCCTTACTTCACCAAGTATTGAAAACTCTATCGTTATGTGATCACTGTGCCCCCGACAGCCTCTGACCACCACATCTCCCACGAGCCGTTCTCTGTTTGTAAACAGCAGGTCTAGCAGGGCCCACCCTGGTAGGTTCATTTATCAGCTGCAACAAGTTATCCTCCATACACTCTAGGAATCTCCTAGACTGCTACTCTTCTGCTGTGTTGAGTTCCCAGCAGGCGGGTTAAAGTCACCCAGAAGAATAAGGGCTGGTGATTTTGAAACCTCCACCAGCTGCTTGTAGAATAATTCATCACCCTCTTCATCTCAGTATTGAACTTAAAGTAATAGAATGCTATCATTCTTTCCTTTGTAAGTATGAAAAAATATTTGATACTGAATGTTGATTTCTCTTTGGGGAACAAGCTGAGATGCAGTTAGGTTTGGTCTTGAATGTACAGATGAATATTACTGATTTCTGATCATATTTTGGAAAGTTAACTTTCACTTTAAGATATTTTTCTTTCTAGAATTTCCTTTTAAATAAATTAATTTTAAGTAAATTTAATTTTACTGTACCACATTTTAAAGAGGTATTTCTTTCAAACATAATGTAGTGGGTTGACCCTGGTCAGATGCCAGGTACCCACTAAAGCCACTCTCTCCCTCTGCAACTGGACAGAGGAGAGAGAGCTAAAAAATGAGCTAAGGATTCATGAGTTGAGATAACGGCTGGGAGAGGTCAGTTACTGATTACCTTCACTGGCAAAACAGACTCAAAGTGGGGATAGTACTTAAATGTATTACTAACAGGATCAGAGCCAAAGAGTGAGAAATAAAACAATCTTAAAAACACCTTCGCCCCCCCTCCTGCCTTCCGTGTTTTCCCCCAGTGGTGCAGGGGGATGAGGAACGCGGGTTACAGGTTACGGTCAGTTGTTGTTTCTGCCACTGATCAGAGAGGAGTCCTTCCCCTGCTCCTGTGGGGGCCCTCCCACGGGAGACAGTCTTTGATGGGCCTCTCCAGTATGAGTCCATCCCTCGGGCAGCAGTTCTTCCCAAACTGCTGTCCCGTGGGTCACTCCTCCATGGGGTGCAGTCCTTCATGAACGAGCTGTACTGACGTGGGTCCCCCACAGGGGCCACAAGTCCTACCCAGGATAAACCTGCTCCAGCGTGGGCTTCCCTCTCCACAGGCTACAGGACCTTCCTCTCTGGCAGGACCCTGCTCCATCTTGGGGCTCCCACGGGATCACAGCCTCCTTGGGATATCCACCTGCTCCAGCATGGGCTCCTCCATGGGCTGCAGGGGCACAGCTGCCCCACCATGGTCTGCACCACGGGCTGCAGGGCCTCAGATCTGGTGCCTGGAGCACCTCCTGCCCCTTATTCTGCACTGACCTTGGTGTCTACCTCGTTGTTCCCATGTTCTCACTCCGCTCTTCCCTGGCTGGAATTCTTTCTGTGCAATACCTTCTGTTCTTAAAAATGTTATCACAGAGGCATTACTGTTACTCCTGATTGGCTTGGCCTTGGCCAGCAGCAGGAAGTCTGTCCTGGAGCCAGCTGGCACTGGGTCCACCAGACAGGGGAAGCTTCTAGCAGCTTCCAACAGAAGCCACCCCTGTAGCCCCACCCCTGCTACCAAAACCCAACCACAGAAACCCACTACACATGGCATTTATATACTTTTAAATATTGCAGAATTTGTTTCAGCTGTAATGTTTTGCCACTCATTCTTGTTGTTTTTTTCATTAACTTGTATGAATTGTATGACTTTATCTTTCTAGAAGAAAGGCTATGTTTCTACCATGATGTGAGTATTCTGTAGTAAAGTTTTTCAAATTTTTTCTCTGAATTATTTTTGCAAAATCAGCCAGATACTCTAGCTTGCTTTCCTTTAATGCATGTTGGTTAGAGATGTAGTGTTAAAGAAACTTTCCTGTCTGACCATCCAGGAGCCACTCAGGCAGTCACACTTGATCTACCTGAGCTGGGATTGAGGACCCTTCCCAGCTATACACCCCACACTCACACAGGCAGACCAGGTTTTCTGACTGACTTAACCCCATGTTTCCCATGGCAGAGTCTGATATCTTGATCCTTAAAATAATTTAATATTGGTGCAATAACATAATAACATCTTGAGCTGGTGTCTCTGAGGAGGGACCTTGAACAAAGGAACCCTGGGGTTTTATACCCTCACAGTCTAAGGGCACAAAAGTCTGGGGGTCCTTGGCTCCTTCTGTGTCTCTGTGTCCTTGAGTGTCTGGTCCCCTGGCTGGGCCACAGCTCCCTGGGCCCTTTGTTGTGCAAAGGGTTGGCAGTTCATGGCCTCTTGCCTCAGGCTCCCACCACTCAGAGCTCAACCTACAGCTCCACTGCACCCCTGAGCTACCTGCACTGAATGGGTTCTTCAACAGTAGCAGCCAATCTTATAAAGATGGTACAAGACCTCTATACCGCAACGGAAGTGTGCTATTGACAGTAGATACAATGCTGACTATACATATGTAACTAGGAGAAGTGCTGTACAATGCAACTGTGTAAATACGCAGAAGGTACTATGTACTGGAAAGTTCAGTTGGCTTAGGAATAATATACATGTTATCTTTTGGGTTTCATATAATCATGGAGTGGTTTGGTTGATTCTTATCAGGTTCTTATAGGCCCACCTCTCCATCTGTCCGCATCTCTCTGGATAATATCCCTTCCTTCCAGTGTGTTGACTGTACCACACAGCTTGGTGGTGTCAGCAAACTTGCTGAGGGTGCATTCAATCCCACTGTCTTTGTCACCAAAAAATGTGCTAAACAGGTCCAGTACCAATACTGACCTTGGTGGAACACTGCTTATCTCTGGTCTCCACCTGGACATTTAGCCATTGACCACAACTCTTTGAGTGTGACCATCCAACCAATTCCTTATGCACCTAATGGTCCACCCATCAAATCCATCTCTCTGTGGCTTAGAGACAAGGGTATTGTGTGGGACAGTGTCAGATGCTTTGCACAAGTCCAAGTAAATGACATCTCTTGCTCTTTCCTTACCCACCACTGCTGTAACCCTGTTGTAGAAGGCCACAAAACCTGTAAGGCATGATTTACCTTTAGTGAAGCTATGTTCACTGTCACCAACACTTCCTTTTTTTCCATGTGCCTTAGCAAAGTTTCCAGGAGGATCTACTTCATAATCTTGCTGAAAACCGAGGTGAGACTCACCGACCTGTAGTTTCCTGGGTCTTCCTTATTTCCCTTTTTAAAAATGTGGGCTATGTTTCCCCTTTTCCAGGGAAGCTTTAGCTTTCATAGAATTTGGCTCGTTGGACAATCACTCCGTTTTCCTTCCAGGCTCCATGTAATTTCTTCCACCCTCTGTAGGCTTCCGTTTTGCATTTGAGTTTGTCTGGGAGCTCCTCGTTCACCTAACACCATCCTCATGTTTTTGCCTGGCTTCCTCTTTGTTCGGATGCATCACTCCAGGGCTCTGTAGAGGTGACCTTTGAATATCAACCAGCTTTCTTGGGCCTCTCTCCCCTCCATGTGCTTTATCCCATGGCACTCTACCAACCAGATCCTGAAGAGGCCTTCAGGAGTCTGCTCTCCTGAAGTGAGGGTAGTGAGCTTGCTGCACACCCTCCTTGCTGTCCTAAGGATATTGAACCCCACCATTTCATGAACCTTGTAGTCCAGGCTGCCCTTGACTTTCACATTTCCCTCCTTGTTGGGAGAACAAGATCCAGCATAGCACCTTGGCTTCTCTATCATTTGGAGAAGGAAGTTACCATCAACGCAACCTCCTGGATTGCTTATGCCCTGCAGTGTTGACAGATACTGGGATGGTTGAAGTCATGAGGACCAGGGCTTTTGAATGTGAGGCCACTCCAATCTGTCTGTAAAGGACCTCATTTGCTTGGTCTTCCTGGTTGGGTGACCTGTAGCAGACCCCCACTATAAAGTCACCTGTTCCTGTCCTGCCTTTAATGCTGAGCTATAAGCTTTTACTTAGCTCCTTGTACATCCCCAGGTGAAGATGCACGTGCTCCAGCTGGTCGTTGACATAGAGGGCAACAACATCTCCTTGTCCACCCTTCCTGTCCTTCCTAAAGAGCCTGTGTCCTTCCATTCCAACACTCCACTCTTTGGAGCCGTCCCACCATGTCTCCATGACATGCCAATGAGATCATAGCCCTGCATCCATGCACACATCTCTAACTTCGCTTCTTTATTCCCCGTCTTACGTGCTATTGCCTTGAAGTTGGGACCCCAATGAAGCTGACTTATTGGCTAGAATTCCTTTTTGTTGTTCTTCAGGTGCTTTCCTGCTGACCTGTGATCCCTCTTCACGCTCTGGGCATCTATTGATGGCATCAAACTGGTAGGACTGGGATGGACTGAGGTTCCCCTCCCTCTGGCACCTTTAGTTTAAAGCTCTCCTCACTAGCTTGGTAAGCCTGTGACTGAAGTTGCTCTTCCCTTTCTCTGACAGATGGATCCATCAGCCCCCAGTAGACCCAGTTTCTCAAAGCAAGTCCCATGATCCAAGTCAAACTGGGCACCAGTCCCAGAACCATTTGTAGATTGACTAGATTTAGCTGGCCCTTTCAAACAGCTCTCCTTTGACTGTGAGGATTGATGAAAAAACTACCTGCAGAGACTTACATTTTTTTTTAATTTAAGAAAAATCTGAGTGGGGATATTTATGATGTTTCCTTTTTGGTTTTGTGGCACAACTGTTGTGTATCTTTTTTGATTCTTCTTTTTCTGCAACTGAATTATTCTTGTCAACTTACTTTCAGATTTGTGTATGTCTTAAAGATGCTGCCTGTTAGGGAGATCTGCTTTTACAGGATGTGCAGACAAGCTTCAAAGCTAACTGTACATCTTAATGTTTGCTTAGCAGAATGAAGGCATTAGTTAAGGCTAGTTTTTCTTATGGGATATTCTGCCTTGAATAATTAAAAGCACAAACATAACCCCATCTTTATCAAAATGCACTGATACTGAAGGTTTGTGGCAAAAGGAATAATTCTTATATTTTGTGCTTGACTCATTAGTGCCTGGCTGTAAAAGCATAGTTGCATCTCAGTTCTTGATTCTCTAAAACATATTTTAGCAAATCCCTTGATATCTGTGAAAAGAGCAGGATTTGGGAAAGAATGATATTATTCTACAGATTCTTACAGTGATGTAGGATCGAAAGGAACCTCTAGAGGCCTTAATCCTACCTCTTATTCAGATTACGGACAACTTTGAGCAGTTGCTCAGAGAACTGTCCATGTAAATTTTCAGTGTTTCCAAAAATGAAGTTTTCACAAATTCTTTGTTCCTGTGTTTAGCAGTCCTTACTGTGAATTTGCTTCCCTAATATGTAGTTAGACTTTAAACGTACTGCATCCTATATAGGTCTGTTGCCATTTAACCTGTTAACTGTGTAACTCCCAAGAAGATTCTGGCTTCATCTTTTCTATACTGTAGCCTTGAGTTGTTAAAGATAGGTTTATAATTTCTTTAACATGTATTATTAATTTCTGTTTAAATCATTTGTGAAGTACCTGATAATGTGCACAGTGTAACCTGGAATTTGTACTCTAAAACACTAGTAGGTACTGGAAATTGCTGATGTAGGTACTGGAAATTGTAGATTTTTTACTCCCCAGAGAAGTGATCATAGCACCAAACCTGACAGAGTTTGAGAAGCATTTGGACAGTGCTGTCAGGCACATGGTGTGACTCTTGGGGTGTCCTGTGAAGAGCCAGGAGTTGGACTTGATGATCCTTGTGGGTCCCTTCCAACTCAGCATATTCTGTGATTCTATGACTGTGCCTTTGTTTATGTCATGGTCACAAATAAACTCTGGGTTACCTCTGATTCCATTTTTTTGGATGGATGCACACTTGGTTCAAAGTGTAATAAGGCCTTTTTAACAACCCAGGAGCAGCTAAGTGCCTTTTCAAATGATCCTTGGTTTGTTGTATAATGGTAAAACTTTTGTTTCTTTGAATTTCTTCAGAAGTCTGTAAATATCTGAACAAATTTCCTAAACTTTGATAATTTAACTCAGTTGCCTTGTCTGCTGGTTCTCAGTTGCTCTGTTGTTGTGTACTGATAGATTGAGATCCTTCTTATGCTGAAGGTATTCCATTTATCTATGGAGATTTGCCTATAGGTGACATTTTCTGATTACAGATAGCAAACTTGTGTTTGTATGCCAGAAAATCTATTAGTGTTTGTTGATAATACTGCCAGTGAGGTTTATGTGATCAGTTATATTGCTCTCCTCTGATTCATGTCAGTAGGAAAGTGATAAGTTCTTCTTTTATAAGGGATGTAGATCTACTACTTGTCATTTTATGCTGCTATAGCTTATACTTCTGTTTTTCAAATGACAGGTCAGCTGCTTACAAAAAGCATTGTTTTGCCTTAACCTTTGACTGTGGTATGTTGTTAATTAGATCAGAACTACAAGACTTATTATTGTTGCTGTTGTGCTAAAAGGATGCTGGTCAGATTGCACAGAATTTTTTTCTTTAAATTAACTTTATCTTCTGAGATTTTGTTTGCTGTATACAAGACTGTTTGCCTGCTCTTTTTAAAGCAAATCCTAACAGTTAGAGTGGAAAATTTCTGAGGTACTTAACTTCAGGGTTTTATTACCAGGGGATGTGATACAGAAACAAAATTGTACCAAAGTTTTTGTGCCTTCAGAAGTTTTATATGTAGGGTTTTTCATATCTGTTGCTGTCTTAATTATAATAAATATATTTCCCCTTCTGGAAATTGTATATTTATATTGTTAGAAATTATTGTTGTCCACTGACTATATATGAAGTGAATTACCTATATGAAGTGAATTACAGCTGTTTCAATACAGATTTAATTATCCCCCTGCCTTTTCCATTGCATTTTTTTCTTTTGTACTGCAATATGCAGGAATCCAAGCATAACCCATGTATTTCCAACTTTAGGTAATAATAACAGGTACCTGGAGCAGTCCCAAAGAAAAGAAATAGTTGAAGGTCTAAATGAAGAAAGCTTTTACCTTGGCAGACTAATGTCTTCACTGTAAGCAGTTTCTCGGGTCTCAGAAACTCTACAATATTCATGAGTGGGAAGCTACCATGCATAAACTTCCTTCTAAGCACTTTCCATTTAATTTTGAATATGTTTTACACTTACTGCAAAAGTTCACCCTGGAACTGCAGCAACACAAGACCAAGGTTGTTAACCAAGCAGATTCTTGCATCAATCAGAATGTCATTTCACTCTCTGACCAAAGACTGTTCTAGTTTTACTGAGACATGTGAAAAACCTTTTTTCTCTCACACTCCTTTCTGATGGGAAGACCCAATGCCAAGGGGACTTTGTTTGAGACTTCTGTTGGTGATTGAAACAACGGAAAATGAGATTGTAATGTGAACCAAATGGTGTGAGATAAGGCAAAAGGTTAATGGACTACTTTTAGTACTGTATTCAAGACACAGAAACATGTCTAAGAATTGCTGTCATTCCCTCATTTTACATGATCTGTTCATAAGTGTTCCCTTTCAGTTTATAAAAATGTTCATCTAACACAAGAAAATACTGTAAATATTTGTAACATCATGTTTTGTTTTGTTTTTTTTTAACCTGGCAAAAAAGTGTTTGGGGGAACAAATGGGAATGTAAACTGTTTTTATATAAAAAAGATTGTCTGTATATTTTAATAAGCAACAGCTTTCATTTGTAAAGTATCTTATGGCATTGCTTGAAAAGTATTCCATATCTGTTGAGATGACTTAAAAACTGAAAGAAGATATAAGATGTATTAAAGAAACCTATTTTGGGACTGTGTAGTGCATGGTGAATTTGGTTATGCTGTAATATATTCTGTTTGTTTAGGTTAGTGTGTTTTCTGATTATTTAGTACCTATACCTAGCTCTTTTCCTAACTAGTTGTTATAGCATGTCTTTTAATAAATGTCATTACAGCTGTACTCTCTTAAATTCTCCTGTGTTCTTGTCTACTGCTTTGGGTTTTTTCTTATAATTGTGCAGTTAATAATGTCTTATTTTCATATCAAAAGTATTTTAAGGAGGTTAACGCATATCTTCAACAACAAGTACACCTTTCCCCTGTGTAGGGCAGAAGTTCTTATTTTCAGTGGGATGAAAATCTATTCTGCAACTCAGAGCCAATACCGCATCTGGTGACTGCTGTGTTCTTTGAGGCGGGGATGTGAGACATCAGTGATGACAGACTTGGGGCCTCATCTGTGAGAATTCTTTTGTTTTCTCTTTTACCATGCTGTACTCTTTGAGCATTAGGATTCAAATTCATATTATTTGCACAAAGATTTAAAAAATTTAAATAGCAGCCAAAAAAGATGGTCTGCTTTCAGCTTCCTGTTTCTCAACTTCTAGATTGCATTTCTTTCAGACTCCTTTGCTTGTCCTTCTCTGTGTTACACAGCACTAGTTTAGACCCTTTTATTCTGGTATCCAAAATTCAGGGCTGCTGGTAAACAGACATTAGTCTAAAGCAATAGATACAAATATGTGGGTGATGTGGGGAGTGCAGCCCCTCTTTCTGATCTAAAATTCTCAGCCAATCTGGCAGGCATTTTATTGTCTGCCATCCAGTCCAAGCCTAGCACATCTTGAAGAATCTGAAGTCTCGTGTATATACTTCATGACTGCATGTGCCTCAAGACTAGGACTAGAGCACTCAACAAATTTAGTGTAAATTATGCTATTACCAATCTCTGAATTTAGAGAAATTGTTGGGAGAAAAATCTAATTCAGTTTAGACTGAATTGGCAGCTTTCAGCAAAATACTTATTCTCTAAAGACTAGATATGAAGTCCCCATGTGTAATTCTTGATTTTGTCCTTGATACTTAAATATTTGATGAGCATTCTGGGGAAAGTGCTAGCTTTTGGTGGCCAAAATCTGGCCTCGTATTTTTTGACCAAGTCTGCCTGAGAAAGTGTGATAGAATTCCTGCCTGTTGTCTTCTCCCCCTCCTCCCTAACCAAAAAATAAATCCCATCTTGAATTCTTGTCAGCTGTTGTAACCCTGTAATGTAATCACAAGTGATTTTGTTTCCCTAAGCAGTTAATGTAAGTGTTCTTCTTGGGAAATGAAAAACCGCTTGTAATTAGCATAGACATAAAATTTTTGATATCTGTAAGCTGAAACAGAAAGGGCAGTAACTGGTGAATTTGCCAACACGTAAGATCTCATATGGTTTGAATCAGTCCTAAATGATTTCTCTCCAGCCCCAGGCCTCACCCATTTACAGAGCTGGAAAGAAGATAATGTGTGCTTTAAAAATAAAGATTTCCACTTGCATTTTCTTAAGTGCACTGAGATATTTGTATTTGAGTTATTCAGCATGTAGCAGGTGAGTACAAGGACATGTAAACAAAAGATATGAAAGTGGAAATCATATGGCAGAATATGTAGGTAAAAGAAGACATGGGACCTGTAGAGGTTGAGGGTAAAAGAGACTTCAGAGTAGTGAATCCTCACAGAGACCATTTCCAGACCAATGCTTTTGCTGTCAAACATAAACTCATCACAGATGCTGCAAAATCCCGAGAGAAACAGTCCACTGACAAGGAGAACTCTTTAGAGTAGTGTTAAGGTAGCAATATGAGTTGCCTGACTCCTGAAGAGCTCTTCTAAGGAGAGTAATACTTTAGTCTCAAGTTATATTTGCTGCTTAGTCTAAGCCAGTTCATCAGAGTAACCCTTTTAGGCCCTGTTTTTCTGTTTCAAGTGCAGCTGGTCAGCATACATTTGAGAGAATCAGAGCTTTTAATGCAAGCAAAGGCATACCTTCTGTAGTACCTCCATTAAATCTACTGTGTAAAGTGTTTTTCTAGCTGTGGTTTAACTAGGCCTTCCAGTATATAAGTACAAGAAGGCTGGAGAGGGACTTTTCACGAGGGCTTGTAGCAATATGACAAGGGCAAATGGCCTTAAACTGAAGGAGAGTAGGTTTAGATTAGAAAGAAATTCTTTTCTGTGAAGGTGGTGAGGCACTAGAACAAGTTGCCCAGAGAAGCTGTGGACTCCCCATCCCTGGAGGTGTTCAAAACCAGGCTGGATGGGGCTCTGACTAACCTTGTCTAGTGGAAGGTGTCCCTGCCCACAGCAGGCAGATTGAAGTAGATGATCTTTAAGGTCCCTTCCAACAACCACCATTCTATGAATAGTTTCTCTTACATGTGTGTATTATTTGTATGATGAAGGGTCTGTAATAGTTTTTATTGGGGGTTTTGTGGGGGGGGGTTTTCCCTCCAGAGCCCATCTTTGTCTGAACAGCCACATTACTCAATGCTTGGAAACTTTTTTAAAAGCAGGCAGACTAAAGGATATTGCTTAATGCTGCAGGCTTGCAGCTCTGTGGTTGGATATGGGTTCTATTTCTACCCTGCTATGGTGCTACCCAGCACACACCTAGAGAATATATTTGCAAACACTGTTCAATGAGTATCACTGCCTGTGAAAATAAAAATGATGCTTTTTTAAAAAATTTGATCTTAACACAAAAAAATGACACAAGGCTAAAGAAATTAAGATAACTGCTATTCAGTGCTATGAATTCTGTCGATGATCTGGGAGCTACTGTCTGTAGCTCCGTGAACTATTTTAGTCAACGCAACATGGATGGGTGCTGGGAGGGAGGGTTGTGGGTTCCTTTCTAATTAAAAACTTTCAGTTAAGAATTGACAAAACATTGAAGTCAATTTACTTCTACAGCTTTACTTCTTACCAAAGAACATGGCAATGTCACTAGTTGATTTTTCAGCATTACTAACTTGTTCTTTCCTTCTCTTTTATTTCCAATTCTCACCTATGGCCAAATTGTCCAAAAGCAATGTGAGATTTAATATGAATACTGTGTATTCAGCAAAATGTCATTCCCGTATATGCTGAATTTGACTCATCTGGTCATCAGACTTGGAAGTATCTTCTGAATTGTGTAATTAATGTTCCTCATTTTTGAAAGCTGTGAAAATAGTTTTTCTGTTTAAGGACACAGTAAGTTTCTGAAAGGGATTTGCTACCTAAGTATTCTCTTCTATTACATCTATTAAATGAAGGTGGTTTCCACACCTTCCTTCATATGTGATGTCTGGTTGTGCGATATACTCTTTTCCTTTTTGTGTGTATGTCCTGAGTATGATTGAACAGCTTAAAATTCTCTCTTGCCGAGGCTTTAATTATCTTGTCAAAAGCATAAAGCATTCATACTGTTGCTCTATGTGATTCAATGAGTTTACCCTCTCAGAGGCTTCATTGGTCTACCAGATATTGAACTGGTTGGAGATTTTGGTAGCAGACCTCTCCCAGTTGTTGAGTGCATTTCATTTCAACAGTAAATGACAAGGCATTATGCTATTTGAGTTCTTCAGTTTAGGCATAAGATCTTTCAATGTTAATTCAACCACAGAGCTAATGAAAGTTAATACATGCTTCGTGATGCTGAGACTTGTTATAGCATAAATGTCTTTTTCTCTCTTTCTGCTCTGATTTGGCACTGTTGGTTACAGCCTGCTTGACACAAGATGGCCTGAGTTAATTTCTCCTTCCAGGCATACTATATATGCTTGTAAGATTCCCAAAGAACTTCCTGGAACACTTTACGGAGCTCTTATTCAGCACTCAATGCAGAAATATGTTGCTCGTGTAAATGGTTTTTCTCTGAGAAAGGTGTTCAATCACTTCAATATGCTTATTCTGTGGGACTTAGATTCTCCCAATTTCATATTATGGGAAGATTACACTTCTTATTTTACACTTAGTTTTTATTTTAATGCATATGATTTTAATCAAGGCCCTTCAAAAATATTTTCACAGTCATCGTTGCCAATCTTCAGCAGGAAAACAGATAAGGAAGAGATTATTTTTGCAGGGTCTGCCCATAAGATGTTATGTATCCTGTCTTGCCTGGGATATCTTACTCCCTTACTGTCTCATGAAATCTAACAGGAAAATTGCTGATAACTTTGCAGATCAATTGCCTAGAAACAGTGGGTTTGATTAAGATGCTGAATTTAAGTTGAGAAATCCTGCTGACTAATCTTGATTTTGTCCATTTCAAAGTCTAGGACCCAATCTAAATGGCCACACTGCTAAACTTACATTAACGTATCTTCTCACTTACTCTCCAAATGATGGGATTGTACATTCAGCCAAGCTTTAAAACACCTTCTGGTGTACATCTCATTGTACATCAAATGGGTCTGAAATAAAAAAATCTGTAATTGTAATTAGACAGTGGGTTGATGTAGTACATATTAAGAAAAACATCCTCACCCTGTATGTATGTATGTATGGCCAGTCTTCGCGAACGAAGATTTGGGAAAGGTCTTTACCCTTCGAGCCTGCGCAGTGGATTTTTTAGGTGAGACACAGTGTGCGCTGAACTGAGCCCACCCTTTAATCCTGAGGTTCATCTGCCGGGGCCGAGCAAGCTTGGACAGTGGCAGTGAGGTCCTCTGGACGTAGGTTTGTTTAGAGTGACCTTCTCTTAGATTGATGGCCTTACAGGGCTGACGAGCTCCATCTGCCCGGGGGAGTTTCCCTTGACCGGGAATTGAACCCGGGCCGCAGCGGTGAGAGCGCCGCATCCTAACCACTAGACCACCAGGGGGTCCCATCCTCACCCTAGTGCAGGCCTAAATGGTCAGTCGTCATTTAGTTCTCACAGGCTTACATTATTTGAATCTCAGGTTCTTCTGGTGTATAGAAAGTTCACGAGGCAGCAGTGTGTCCATGTGGCCAAGCAGGCCAATGACATCCTGGGATGCATTAGGAAGAGCATTGCCAGCAGGTTGGGGCAGGTGATCCTGCCCCCTCTGCTCAGCCGTGGTGAGCACCTGCAGTGCTGTGTCCCATTCTGTTCTTCTCAGGACAAGAGGGACACGAAGCTCCTGGAGTGGGTCCAGTGGAGGGCAACTAAGATGATTAAGGGACTGGAGTATCTGTCTCT